GCTGCGGTCTCGCTTGCCCCCTCCATTCCCCCCTGAGAGACAAGTAGTATTTGGGTTATGGAAAACAATGTTGAGAACAAATTCCCAAAGCAGGTGTCCGTGGGAGTTATTTGAGCAAAACAGCTGGGGGCAGAGATTGTTCCTCAATTGCACATTCTCAAAACTGTTAGGGAGAAAATATGTCCCGTTTAGCATGCATCAGATGAACGGGGCCACGTTCAAAGTGGGCTGAAGCATGCTGCAAATGGCCGGGAAGGTGACCCAGGAAGCCCCAGTTGTATGCGGTTGACTAGTGTGAGGAGAGCCTGCGGTGCCGTGTGGCTAAAGATCTCTGAATTTCCACTGTGACTGACGACTCAGGTCAGCATCCAGTGCAGAGAGGTCAGCCTCACCTATGACCAGCCCTCCCGAAGTCCTTTTCTTTCTCTTGTTAAAGTATTCCCTCGTCTTGGCGTTGTCTCCTCTATTAGTCTGCTCTTTGTCTTAGCTTCTGCATAAAGGGTCACTTTGAGGTTACTGGCTTCCTTTCTGGGTGGTGGTTAGAAATTGCGTCTATTGGAGCACGTATATTTGTGTGGACATGTGTATTTTTTTTCTCGTGGACTCTAGATTACAGGCATGTGGGCATTCTGAGATTTAACTACCTGAATTAGACACATAACCAAGGAAGACAGAGATTCCCCTTTCTGACTTAAGCTGCTTGCCAATCCCAGGGCAATACCTGCCCAAGCAATAGATTACGATTTCTGCAAATATAGATGTCCCCATCACTACTATGGGAAATAAGCAGAAGGCACGCCCTGTTCCCTGCATCCATGTTACGAGATAATGTCCTTGACAAACTGCTTACGTACCACGATGAGGGCCACAGGGACAGGTCCCGTGGAAATGGAGACCAGGTGAGGTGTGGGATCCACAGGCAGGATGTCTTCCTCTGGTCTTACTTCCTGTGCCTCCTGCTGACATTCATCTCCCGGCCGCCCTGGAGCAGTGGGGAGCATCATTTCTGCTGAAACGTCACTACGAGAGGGGTGTCTGCTGCAGGGTGAGCCCTCAGGAAGCCCGTGCCTGTGATTGGCCTTCCTGAGACGTACCTGGTGCCCAAATTCCAGGCAATCACTCGGCTCAGTAATGCTCATCGCTCTGCTGTTTTTCCCTCCAAGGTCTTTGGAAACATAAAATTAGATGAGGAGAGTCACATCAATCGACACAACAACTTCCGGAGCTTCTTTGGGTCCCTCATGCTACTCTTCAGGTACTTGGGTCCAGAACTGTTGTAGTCAGGGCCGCCCTGATTGGGGTGGGGGTGAGGGGGCGGGGGAGTTGCTGAACTGACCTGCCTCATTTTCCCCTTTCCTTCCATCCCTTAATTCTGCGTCCTGTACTTTGGTCAGGCTGTGAGGTGGGCCAGGAGAAGGTTGGCAGACAAAGATTTTGTGATCAGCCCAAGGACTGTACCAAAGTTAGATCCAACTCCCTTTTGCAGTCGTTAATTAAATCACCAGCATGGCCTCCAGGACCCTGCACAAGGAGCAAGTCAGGAGACTTGCTTTCAGACAAGATTCCGTTTATAGCCTGGACCCTTGGATGGTCAGATCGATGTGAGGTCTTCCCACCCCCACCCCCACCGAGGAAAGACCCCTCAAAAGATGGGCCAACAGTGAACCAGAGGACGGCCCTCCGGAGGGTCCTCCCGGGAACCCCTTATCCCGCAGTGGAAAGAGGCTCAATGGCTAAAAAGGGCACGTGTCGGGATCCGGCCAAGAGAAAGGGCTGGGTGAACCAGGGGTGCGTGCAGAGGAAGGGATGGGACTCAGGTCTGCTACCACTAACCACAATGCCTCTTGGGCTCAGGAGTGCCACAGGTGAGGCCTGGCAGGAGATTATGCTGTCGTGCCTCGGGGAGAAAGGCTGTGAGCCCGACACCACGGCACCGTCGGGGCAGAGCGAGAACGAGCGCTGCGGCACCGACCTGGCCTACGTCTACTTTGTCTCCTTCATCTTCTTCTGTTCCTTTCTGGTGA